AAGAAAAAAAAAAAAAAAAAAAAAAAAAAAAAAAAAAAACTGGATAAAAAAGCCCAAGGGATTCCCATCCAGGAGGCTTGGGTGGGGCCCAGGAATCTGACTTTGTGTCATTTTTCTGGTGGAATTTTGTGCAGTTGGCTGATAGGTACACATTTCATAAACACTGGTTTCAGAGCTGGAGAGCCTCAGAGCTATAATAAAATTGTTTTTCCTGTAGGAATTATGTTATAAAAAGTAAGGAAGATGCTTTTTATACTTGTATGTAAATTTTATTACCAAAATGAAAAATAATAAACTTTGTTGATTAAAAAAGACAACAAACCTAAACAGCACTGAGAACAAAGGAAAAACTGACGAGTTGAAAGACAAAAGGAAAAAATGATGATTAAGCACATCATCAAAATGTGCTTAATTATGCACACTTCACAATGGTGGACAGTAACCAAGAGGATGTGACATCAACTGTCCCCCTCAAACAGAGCCACTGGTGATCTGATGCTGGCCTACAACTGTTCACATAAGTAAAGCATAGGTAAGATTTGTCAAAAGCTGCTATTATAAATTTTACTTTATGGTTGATAATAGAAAAAGCATAGGTAAGATTTGTCAAAAGCTGCTATTATAAATTTTACTTTATGGTTGATAATAGAACAAGGACTTCTGGAACATCTCATGCAAATGTATGCAAATGAGCACACTGATGTATACAAAAAAGCAAAAGCAAGCATGATGTTCTTCCCTGTTCTCTGCAAACAAGCTCTGTTACCTTATTTTAAAATAAGCTCTGCAATAAAGTCACTAGAAACAAGGGTACATGCTGTATGACTCCTTTTTTATGAAGTTAAAGAACGGGCAACAGTAAACTATAACGTTAGAAATCAGGGGTGGGGAGATTGACTGGTAAGAGGGACAGGAGGAAGTTTTCTAGGTGATGGAAATGTTTTCTATCTCAGTCTGGGTAGTGGCTACAGGAGAAACTTGGTACATATTGTGTTGACCAGAAGCTGCCCTGGTGAACCCTCACGTGGCCTGCGAACTTTCTGCTCTTGCCTTTGTGCTTGATACCACGCACTGTCATGGGACATGCCTGTATCTGAAGCAGAGGCGGTCTCTGGGGTTATGGCCCAGAAGTGGGAGACTCAGGAGCCTCCCTCTTGCTCAAACTTGGGAGAACAGAACAGGACTGTGGAAAAAAGATCTCCTCTTGCCCCTTGATAGATCAGTGAGCTTTCAAATCTGGAGCATCAGCAGCCTGTTAGAGCTGAAGTAGAAAAGGCACAGTCTGCCTAGCCCCATCTTTACCCTTGCCACATCCTCACCTGTCGATAGCGATGGCCAGCAGGGCATTGGTGGAGACGTAGAGAGAGACGGTGCGCAGGTAGTTGACAGAGGCACAGAGCATGTGACCGTGCTCCCAGGAGAGCTGGCGCACCACATAGTAGTCCATCTCAAAGGGGCAGCAGATGATGGCCACCAGGAAGTCAGAGATGGCCAGGTTAGCAATGAGCAGGTTGGTGAGGTTGCGCAGCTTCTTGTAGCGGGCGAGGGCAGCGATGAAGACAAAGTTGCCGATGCCGCACACCAGCATGATGCCTGCCAGTGCCACACCGATGACAATCTTGGCTGCAAAGAAGGTCCGGGTCTTGGTCATGTCCTCATCCTCATCCAGAGGGAGGTCGTAATCACCGTAACTGAAGTTGAAGGGAAGGGAAGTGGTATGGTCTTGGGGTGGATTAAAGTTGGGTGCAAAGCTAGTGTTTCCATTCTGGGCTGCCATGGTGATGCTTGCAGATGGAGTGGTGCGAGGGAGGCGTGGGGGTCTGAGCACTCCAAGCTGAGGGTCCAGACCTTCTGCTCTCACAGGGTCAATGAGCCTAGCACCTTGCTCACATCGTTGGGGAGCGTTTTCATGCCACCATGGATCCTGGAAGGAGACACAGCCAGTGGACAGCATGCAGGAGAACATCTGGTAGCATTCCTCCAGAGTCCCAAGGAATAGGCCAGCCAGACCCACTGCCTACCCATGGACAGAACTACCCAGGGTGCGGGGATAGAAGACACGAGATCTGGAAGCTGGGAAGCCCTCCACTGGCTGCCCAGCTGTCAGGAAGGACTCGGCACAGGAGGATTTGGACTTTCCAGAGACACTCAGGATGAACGTACATCTTTGTCCTTTACCCAGGGTCCAAGGCTGGTTCAACTGCCCAGTCACAGCCTCCCCTTCCTCCCCGACATCAGCCCCCACAGGGGTCTTCTGGAAGTTTTCCAAGGCTGCTCCTGGCAGTTGGCCCAGGCTTCTATGGCATTCACAGTGTTATGCCAACATTGGCCAGGGACAATGAAGCAGGAGGACCTGGATGCTGCAGGGTCCTTCCTCCAAAGCAGGGTACCACTCCCTCTGTCCTGGCCAACCACGGACTGGGAAATCACCAAATTCGTTTTCACATGGACAGACTGAGTCACCCTAGGACAGTAATTTATGCTCTCAGAGTCCCAATCTTCCTGTAAACCAAATTCCCGCTGCCCAGTCCAGGGCCTGGTGCATAGTGGGGGCTGGATAGGAATGGGCTGAGTGAGTGAATGAGGATCCTGACCCGGGGCTGTGCAGGGGAGGGAATTCTCTAGAAAGAAATGCTTTGTCTGCCTCCCCTCCCTCCCCACTCCTTTGGGTCTGCTCCCTGCTCCCCTTCACCAGGTCCCCACTTCCCCACCAGGGTCAATCCTGACTGGGAGGCACCACCTCTGGCCACCAAGGTCTGTGTCCTCTGGATGTGCTGGCTGCTCCAAGACCTGGTTAACTGAAAACAGCCCTCAAGGGTAGGGGTGGGGTGGGCGGTCATTGAAGACCCAGGAGGCAGGAGGGATGAACTGTCCTTCATCGCCTGCTGTTCTCAGTGCCTCAAGATGCCCATGGGAGAGGAAATAAAGTCTCTGAAGTACTGAGCTCTCAGGAAATAGGGCACCTTAGAGTTCAAGGCGTTATGGAGGGGCCAGAAAAAGAACCCGGACACCACCTGCGGAATCCCCCCGCCCCGGGGCCCGTCCAGCAGTGAAGGTGAGACTCTGCTCAGCCGGGGACGGGCGGCGGGAGTCCGGCTCCCCTCGGCTCCCACGCTCCGCCGCTGTCCAGCCCCGGGGCCGAGAGGAGAGGGCGCGCGCCCGGGCTGCGGCCCGGCCCGGCCCCGCTTTCTCTGGGTGGACCCACTCCAGCAGCCCCTTCCCCTCCCATCTCAACCCCCCGAAGCGGCCGCGCCGTGTCTCGAGGCGCCACCCTGGCAGGGGCAGGAATCAAGTCAGAAATTGAGGCTGGAGGAGCAAAGCCTCCGGGGCCTCCGCGGGGGAATGAAACCGGGGCCGGGGGAGGATGCGGGGCGCGGGAACGTTCCCAGAGACGCTTCTGTTTTCCGCTCACCTTTCAGAAAGGTGTCCCCGCGCCCGTGCGCCCCCTGCAATTCGGCCCTCGCCCGGCAGCCCGGCCACCGCTGGCTCCCTCCGCGCCCCTGCACGCCCCAGTCCCCGCTCACCCACCCCTGCCCCGTCCCCGAGGACCTAGAGGGGATCACCCGGAACCAGCCCGCCTGCTTCGAGCCAGCCCGGGCGCATCCCAAGAGCGGTGGGAGGCTAAACGGCCCGAATTCTCGTAAGAAAGAAGCGGGCATCCGAACCCCTTGCCCGCGGGACGCCCCACGCCGCCGCCGCAGCCCCCGGGCTGCACGGATCTGAGCACTTACCTGCCGCGGAGTGCGGGTCGCGAGGTGGTGGGCGCGGGCCGGGCCGCTCGGTTCCCGCCTTGGGGACCGGTACTTGCGCCAGCGGTGGCGCTGCGTGGGGGATGTCCCTCTTTCTTCCTAGCGCCAGCGCGCTTCGCCCGCGCGTCGCGATCTCTTTCTTCCTGCTGGAGTTGGCGCTCCGCCCCCGCAGCTCATCCCGTCGCCTCGGACCCGGCCCTGGGTGCCCCGCCCCGCGCTCTACCTCACCCAGGGGTCCCCCTCCTGCCTCCGAGCCGCGTCGGAGGGTGGGCGCCAGGCTCCCGCATCCCGCAGCGCGCCCTTGGGCTGGTGCGCCCAGGGCGCCGGGCATCGAAGCTCTGACCCCGCTGGCGCTAGGCCGCGGAGGCCGCCCCTGTCGGGGGTTTCTGCGCCCTCGCACTCTGGTCTGAATACGACCACAGCAGCCGGGTTTCGATGGTGCGATTCGGAAGACCGAGCATCGCCCTCTGCGCTCCGCCTTGGCTCCCCACCCGGGTCGCTGGCCCAGGAGCGGAGCGTCCTGACTTCTGCAGGCGCCCAGTGCCAGCGTCTGCACTCGCTACAAGGTGACTCTTTCAGGAGCAGCCCGGGATGCAGCTGGTGCTGGGAAGTGCAATGTGGGCATTTGGGGGTGGTGGTGGAGGAGGAAGCTGGGGATCAGGGGCATCTCAAAGCCCCAACCCTGAAGTCCTCGCCCAAACTCTGCGATGACCACCACTGGCAAATTTCTTGGCCATTCAAAGACAAGCCCAGTCGGGCTTCAGTCCGTCTGTCGGGAGACTCTGGAACCCTCCATTTTGCTTCCACAGGCTCTGACTGTAGGCAACTTCCATGACCTTACTGACCTTGGGGCTAAACTCAGGAGCTGCCAGTTCAAATGTCGAGTAGCTGGGAAGCTCTTCGTGTGGAACTCAGCAGTGGCAGGAGGCTGAAGGTCTAAAGGGGTTCCCCACTGTTAACCCCCCACCAATTATTGACAGGTTGGAATGTGGCCTCTGATTCATTAGCTCTTCCCATTTATCAAGGGAATCTGGAATCCAAGAACTTTATAAATAATCTGCTGGGTTAGTGAAAACATAAAATTTGTATTGGCCAAAAAGGACGTATCTCAGACTGAACACAGTTTACGGGGCTGCCAATTTAAAATTTGTGGATAGATGATCTTAACACCCCTTAGGGTTGTGACACTCTGTGACTCTGCCTTTCCCATTATTTGTGGAACCCCACATAACCCCACCCTCCTTCTGCCATTTTGGCATTTCCCCTTGTAGAGCCACAGACAGGAGATCCAGCTTTCTGCTGTCCTCACAGGGAGCGGCTGTGGTTGGGCTGGTGTTGTGGGTGTGGAGGCAAAAGAGGTTCTGTTGTTTGAGAAGGGGGATGATGGGGGACCAGTTACATGCCCTGACACACTCTTTGGAGGTTCCTTTCAAAGGCTTGGTGCGTACTTACCAACTTCAGCTAACGGCTTCTGCACTCATGGACTGTACCCCCATCCCCCACCCCCTTTTTAATGGGATAAACAAACCCCTGGGACCCTCTGCCTTGTGGTGCTTTCATGGAATCCTCTGAGATAGAGTTATGGCAGCAGAGCTGGAAACCCACAGGTGTCCTTTCAGTAACTTGAAGTCTTGACTACCCTCAGCAGAGTAGGAGCTATGCCTGGGGATGAACCTGAAGTCCTCAGGGAGACAGTGGTTGCTTTGAGAACAGTGCAAGAAAATACTACAGGGGGTTAGAGGCTTGAATGCAGGTAGTTTACTGGGAGATGATCCTGGGAAGCAGAAGGGAGGCAGAGGGGAAGTGAAACAGGGAATGGAGAAAGCCAAGGCACAGTGTTAAAGTGCAGGGCACACTGTGGCCAGCTGGGGTTCACTCCCCCTGAGAAGCCCTGTGGAACACTCCTCATGATCATGATATTTGCTGCAAGGGAAGCTGGGATGTCCAGCCACTGATTCCTGTCCCCACTGATGGACATTGTCCCTGAAGATGATGATTTCCCTCACTTCTGAGTTGTGCCCCTGTGTAGTGGAGAAAGTCAAAGGCCAAGAAGAAGAGAGCTTCAGGCCTTGCGTGGGAGGAGTCAGGGTGCCAGGCACTGCACCTGCTGGTGGGTTCAGGTGGGCCGGGAGATGTGGGGCAGGCCAGCAATCTGGAGCAGCTACAAGGTTGAGTGAACAAAGTCTATGGAGCAGAGGGGCATTCCCCTCAATGGGGGCTGCAGGAGTGGCTCTAACCCTGGAGTTCATGGGCTGAATTGGGTGTGAACCCAGAGAAACCTGGGTGGGGTGGGTGGGATTTGGAGAGGGGCTGAAGAGTTTGCATTATGTAGCTGGAGTCAACCTTATGTCCCCACTTTGACTCATAAAGCTGGCAAGAACTGGGAAAGTGGAGATTCCCTAGTCAGGTAGGATGGAAATTATTAATGGGTTTCCCCTTCTAGTCAAAGAAACTTCTCTAATTTCCAGCTCAAAGTCTCTTCTCTCTGAAGTGGAAGAGTCTTTCTGGGTGAGAGAGGCTTAGCTAAACTATGTAATGAAGTTCTGAGGGAGGGGGAGAGGCAAGGGGGAAAAAAGAAAAACTGCGCAGGCTGGAGTTGCTGCAGATCCTCAGGGGAGAGGTTATGGTAGGAGCAAATGGGGGTGAGGAAAATGGATGGATGAGGAAAGAAGGCTTTAACATGCAGCCTACTAAATTACAAATTGGTTTATTTCCAATTTTTAGCTATTGTAGGGCTATAATATAACTGCACATAACATCTTTTTAAATATGTGCAAATATATTTGCGTGATAAATTCCTAGAAGTGACATTGTCACATTGAACTCCATAGGGGTCCCATCATTAAGCAGTCTTTGGAGGGTAGAGGTGAGTGCTAGGGCCACTGTACTTGATCAATAATCAAGTGTCTTTTGAGCCTGAAGAGGCAGTACTCAGGAGCCTGTGTGTCTCTCATAGAGCAATTAATAATCAAATTAAGAATGTGTCCTTGTTACTGACTGTAGACACATTGTTAGGTAAACTCTTTAGTAATTTTGAAAGTAAATGTAATTAAGCTCTATGAATTATATTTGCAAAAGGTGAAGCTTAATTAATGATTCAAGGTGCACTGGCTTCACCTTTTATACAATCTATCTGGCTTCCACAGGGTTCTGCAGAGTGGCTCTTAAGATGTGCTGGTTGACTCACCTAATCCAGGTATTTTTCCCTCTCTGGCTTCCATCTGCTTCTAGGGCAGTGCCAGGACGATGATAGCTGGGCATGAGATGAGGCATCAGGTTCTGTCCCCACCAGCCACGCTCCCTGTCTATGGAGGAAGACTCAAGAAAAAGGTAAACTTACATGAAAACTAGAGAGTTTTTGGTGAGAAATTTGCGATTGCTGTTAAGACTGTTTTGGAAAGTTTTCAGAGTCCTGCAGAGGAGGCAGTGTTAAGAGAGGAGGGGTTGAGTCAACAAAGTCCTTGCAAGAAGCAGCTCATCAAAGGACTCAAAGCTGGACTTCATAATGCAGAGTTCAGCTAATGAAATCCCCTTCATGGTAATGACCATGTTCACTGGAAGGACAGATGAATGAGAGGACAGTGCTCTAGCTCATAAGAAAGACCGAAGGCTCTCAAGTCATGATCCATGTTTGATTGGGTTTGGAAAGGTTCAGTTTTATAAGGAAGCACTGAATATCAATTTATGGTGCGCTTCAGCTTCTCTGGCACTGCCTGTGTTCATATGCCATCTCTCTGAGCTCAGGAAAGGACACAAAACTCCTCCCCCAGCTATGTCACTTGAAAGTGGGGAAGTCAGGTGCATACATGTAGAAAAAACTCACATAATGTAGGAAGGAAAAAATTAAATTCAACCTTTGTCCCCTCTCCACAATCCAGCCCCTTAGAGGTGACCCTGTTACCTGAACTTTATTATACACATTCAAATTTCACAAACCCATTAGGCTTTGGGGATGCTTGGGCTCATTATGAGAGGAGTCAAGGGAGGAAGGAAAGCTATTTTCACTAAGGGTTACATAGGGTTCTGAATTATTTAACTTGAATATCAAAAGGGACATGGCCTTGGTTTGTGCCCCAAGGTGAAATAGGCTGTTTTAGGTTGGGCTCCCCTAAAATCAGGTCTTGAGATGGAGATTTGAATGCACCTTGTTTATTAGGGAATTGATCCCAGGAAACATTGTTAGCAGCATAGAAAAGTGACACAGGGTAAAGAAGGCAGCCAGTAAAGGGTGTGAAATCAAGCAGGTTACATCTGTGGGCAACTGGGCCTTAATCCCACTGGAGAACTCTAGGACACAGTGTGGGACAAGCACTCCAGAGTTCTACCAGCAGATGGGATGAGGGAGCTTGCAGTTATCCATGGAGAACTGTTCCTGAGGGGTGTTCATTCCCCAATCTGTCCAGTCTCCCCACCCATGGGCAGAGCAGGGTCTCATGGTTAGAGAAAGCCGTAAGGCAAACAGATGCCTGTGCAGACAGCTGGAAGACACGCACTGCAACAGTGAGGGTGAGTGTGTGTGGGAGAACCTGGGAACATGTGCCACATGGCATTACTTTGCATGGCGATACTGCAATTCCTTGGTTGGTTCTGTTCTTTGTACCTCTGGTCCTCTAGCAGGTTCATCCAGGCATGTTCTTCTCATGGTAAAGGCGGAGGTGCAAGAGCAAACAAGCTCCGGTGTACAAAACCACTCTAAGCCTCCGCTTACATCGCACTTGCTAACATCCCATTGGCTGAAGCAAATCACATGCTGAGTTCAGAGTCATGGGCTCACCACTATGGGAGGGTGCTGCAAAGTTACAAGGTGAAGGGCACAGATGCGGGGAGGAGTGAATTGGGTCAAACCATGCAACACACTGTGCTCAGCTCCTGTGTCTTGGATCCCACAGCTGCCTGCCCTGCTCCTTCAGCGGCTGCTCTGATTCTTCGAGCCACCTCATCGCCTCAGTAATTACTCTTTTTGGCTTAATTTACCCAGAGCTGGGTTCTGTTGTACGGTATCAAGAAAACATAACAGATCCAGGTATTTTTTTGTGAGGGACAAAACAGAGTTGGACAGTTTAACTTGCAAAGATCACATAGCTAGTGAGTGGTAGAGTTGGGATGCAGACCAGGCTCCAAAATCAAGGTTTCTTCCACCACACTAATTTGAGAAATGTGATTTTCCTTGTGCAAGGGGGAAGCAGGCTGGGGTAGGGATTCTTCACACATGGCTCCTGCCTGCCTCGCGGGGAGTGTAGTATTGAACAAGAACTGGACAAAATGGGAGAAGAATGAACAAGCTCCCCCAGACCTGTGCTTGACTCTGGGGGTACTGTGGATTCAATGTCTCCCAAACTCATTGAAGCTTGATCCTTATTGTAACAGTGTTAAGACGATGGGAAATCAGACTATGGCAGTGTTGAAAGGTGGGGCCTTTAACACGTGATTGGGTTGTGACGGCTGTGCTCTCACGAATGGATTGATCCATCCATTGATCTGTGGATAGGTTAATGGTTCAGTGGGTTGTCATGGGTGTGGACTGGTGGCTTTTTAAGGAGAGCACATGAAAGAGCTCTTGCTGTCCTCACTATGTGAGTTCCTGTGTCACCACCAGACCCTGTAGCGAGTTCCCACCCAGAAGAAGGTCTTCACCAGATGTGCCCCTGGC